CTGTTTGTCTGTCTGTCCGGAAATTCGGAATCACCTGAAGAGCCAGTTGGAGGGGGCGGGTCAAGGGTGGGTTGGGTAGGGCATGGGCCAAGATGTACGGAACACACATGAACTAAGCTAGGCTCCGCCCACTGTGGGCGGGGCGTGCGCACAGTTGTGAGCTACAAATTTCAAAAATTCGTAGTTTGGTTCCAAAAGAGCCCCAAGAGCGGAAAAAGTGGCAAACGATAGGCAATCGGTTGGCGGACGAAATGAGTGAGACACACCCATTTGGGCGGGGCGTTCTATAGGTGGGCGGTGCTTGCTACGAAACTTTCAAAAATTCGCAGTTCGGTTCCAAAAGAGCCCCGAGAGCGGAAAAAGTGGCAAACGATAGGCAATCAGTTGGCGGTCGGTCGGTATATACAAGCAGAGAAAGGGTGAGGTGCGCTGGTTCTCAGCCGATCCTCCTTCCGCGTGTGAAGTGAAGCTTTGCCGACGAGTCCCGACTGGCCCTCCCTCTCATGGAAAACTTCTCACCGGGACCCACTTCACACGCGGAAGGAGGATCGGCCGGCGAAGCCGGCCGATCCGACTGGTTCTGTTATATGCCTGTAGTTGTGCATAGACCACTGCGGAAAGAGCCAGAGTGAGCCAGCTACGACAGCAGTAAACGTAGAAGAGATGACGCGTGAAGCTAGGCGATCTATTCGATCTGAGTGGCCTTAACGATAGCTCAACCCTGGGTGTGATTACCATGCAAGGTCAAGTCTTGCCCATAATTGAGCATTAATGATAAACAAAAACAACATCAAACAATAACAAATATCAATAACAATTCAGGCGAAGCCAGGTACCTCAAGCGAATCAGATAACGAAGAGCACTGTGAAAAATGCAAAGGCCCTTGTATAAAGAAGAAGTGAGTTGGAACAAGTTCTCAACGATTATCTCAAATGTTAACTTTTCTTCTCAGACTGCAACGCAGTTATCCACAAGTTCGCACGTACATCGGAACTTCAAATACTGTCTGCCATATGTTGAAAGAAAAACGACCGATATGTTGCTTGCAGCTAAATGAGGTAAATCCTACAGACTTTACGCGTAAATGTTCGGGGTTTATGGCGAAATTCTCGACTGAAGCTCGGTTTCTGAAGTGAATTTGGTATTGCCATCCTGTTGTTCGCTTTTTTCCCAGGGCAGCCTTTGCCTATATAGGCACATTCCGCACTCGTTTTATAAGCGAAACCAAGTCTACAATTGAGTCTCCCTTATAAGTGTTCTGAGGTGGTGTAGTGGCAAGTGGCATGTTTACAACACCCGCGGTCCGAGAGTGAAAAAAGCGGCGCGCCACCAACCACAAGCCTTCGTACTTTCCAGGGATGAGACGATTAAAAATACTCGCTGCCAAAGTAGCACATATTAGGGGGGGCGGGAGCTAAAAGTGGCGCTGCCGTCCTCGCTGCAGTTCCTGGGGGCACTACCAGAAGAACGCGACGACAAAGGGATCCTAGAGCGAAGGCTAGAGTGCTTTTGAAGCAACCCTATTGCCATACAGACCTGTTAGTCCTTCCTGATCACCGGCGCGATGTAATTCTTCTTCAGAGTCCTTTAGGGCACAATCTGCGTCTACTTACGATCTCACACATACAGCCATGGCAAGTAACAGGGGTATAATGTGGTCTCTATATTGTTAGTTTGTTTTTCAAAGAAAATCCTGTAGTTTTTTTTGAATTTTATTCATATTCGTGGCCGTTTATAGATAATTTTCATAGTGGATGGTTTCTAGCCCTGCGAGCACTGTCCTTACACCTCCGCTCACGAATATGGATGGACGAATAAACCTATTATTTTGGCGGCAGACAGAACAAGCAGTGGAATGTACAATCTTCTTATACCTTTGAGATAAGTTTTGAACTTGACGGGAATTTAGATTCGAAAATGCCAAATAATGGAGTTGTTTTTACAGCTTACTATCGCCAAGTCCACAGACTTCATCCGATAGTCCTGTTACTTGAGTTGGAAGAAACCTCTACCCCGAACCCGAGTTTCCTTGACGCCATATCATATTTCCCATTGATATACTGGATGCAAGGGAAGATTTCGATGTAAGCGCTCTTGACGCAGTTCGGCAACGGGGAGGCATTTTGCACTTCCGCTGCTTTTTTCATTGTCGTTAGAGCCGTCAGGTATAGATTTTGAAATATTGTGAGACCATGAAGTGATGCCATGTACCATGAAGTGAGTCAAACCTAGAAGAAACTACTCGTCAACTCTTGTAAGAATACCTGCCAACACTTGTAGCAGTGAACAGGACAATGGAAAGCAGCGGGAGTGCACCCCCCTCACCTCGCCAAACTGTGCCGTGCTTTTTTGCTCATCGCGGACTAATCTGTGCTTAACGTTATTCTTCAACCTAGGAATCCAATCAGATTTTGCAGACTTGACAACCTTCTTCGAGCAGGCGTTAGTAACGCGGAGCATGTCGTTGTTGTTAAGGAATTTGCTTCGTTGGCTGAAGAACATCTCGCTGATTGCAGTACCATCATCAC